TTTTAATGTGGTGCTGAGAATCGAACAGGGTCCCGCCCATGCTAGGCTAGCGCTCTACTGCTGAGCCACAATCCCAGCCCCAGATTAATTCTTTATTCCAATCCTTCAACAGGACCAGAACACTACTCCTGCTTTGACACCCCCCCACCACCACCATTTCCAAGATCAGCCACGGTCTGGGGTGAACAATTGTGGGATGGGGGCTGGGAGTACCTAAAGAAGGATTTCCTGCTTAGTGAACCAGCTAACTGTTGAACACCTGATACACATTCAACCTCCCCACCATGCCATTATACGCTGGAACCAGGAGTAAGGATTGCCAATAGGTTCGGTTACACCACCGCATCTTCATTATGCAGTGCCTCAGTTTCTTCCTCTGTAGCATGGGCCCAAGATGCACAAACATGAAAGCCAGATGTGCAATTTGGGAGGGAGGGAGAAAGGAAGGGAGGGAGGGAGGGTGGAAGGAAGGGAGGGAGGAAAGCCAGATGTTATATTTGGGAGGGAGGGAGGGAGGAAGGAAGGGAGGAAGGAAGGAAGGAAAAGAAATCCTGCAACTTTTGAGTCCCTCCCCAAGAGCACCCAGAATAGAATCGAACCCAGCACGTACGTGACCGCGGGCTCTTCTGCCAAGGAGTCGTTGGCCAGGCTCTGCCAGGCCCGCTCGCAGGTCTCCAGTGCCGCGCGGAAGTCTAGGTGCACCACCAGGAGGTCGGCAGCCTCCTCCAGCAGATGCACTGAGGGAGACGCTGCCGGGACCAAGCGCGCGGGCTCGCTGCTCCGCAAGGGGGCCCCGAGCCCCTTAAGAGGGGCTGCAGAGGTCGAGATGTCGCTCTTCATCGCCAGCCTCGGCTCAAAGCCTGTCTCCTCAAACATCAGAAGGACCGCCTCTCCCGAGACTCCGCGATATCCTGGGTCTGCCTGGGAGAGGAGGGGGAAGTCTTCCTTCCCTTCCCCACAACCTGTCCGAAGGTCGATTCTGGAGAAGGAAGAGGAGGGGGCAAGACAAAAGCTCGCCAACAGCCTGGCACTCTGAGAACCAGTCTACACGTCAGGTTTGCAGAATTGCTGCATCTATGGAATACCTGGCCTTATTAACTCCGGAGAGCTCTCCCGGCTAACAGAGCCCGGCAGCAGCTGCATGGGGCAGCGAGGGCCGACATCTTTGGCGGTCGTGTGGACACGCGCCTGCTCCGGACTCCGGGACTCTGGGAGTTGTAGTCTCCAGTGCTCGACTAAACCGCCCTCTAGAAACGGGGAAAAGATTGTACTACAACTCCCACCACGCCGCGCACCAGCTGTCACGGTCCTGGGAGAAAACATCTGCGCCCAGGGGTTGAGAAATAAGGGCAAATGGACTACTAGCAAAACCACAGCAGTCTTGGGAGGTACCCTCGCTAGCCAGTTTAGGCAGAGGCGAAACGGAAGAAATTCCATTAACGGAGGCGGAGCGACCTGCACGCTTCTAACTCTTGAGTTTCTCCTGGGGTGGCAAATAGAACTGCTGGAGGAAGTCTAGGAAATTTACTGAAAGAAAACGGCAAAGCTGGCCGCTTTTTCAGAATATGTTCGGCCTTCTCAAACCTACCTCACAGTTCATTCAATGTTTTAAATGGGCCTGACATTGTACAACACGCTTTGTGTGCGATCGTTTAATTCTTCCCTCCCCATTTTACAGGTGAGGACATTGGACCCTACTTAAATAATTTGCTGAAGGTCACACAACTAGGAAGTAACAGAAATACTGTCAAAGTAAGGCACTTTGGGTAGATGGCATGTGTTTAACCACTGTCGGTTCTTCAGAAGCCGAACTGAGTCTATACTTTCTATTCAGGGGATGCAGTCATCACACAAACAAGCTAGGTAAGTTCCTTGAACCCTCGTTGCCCACATAATTTAAGTATGTGGTGAAAATCAAAGTCATGCGGTGTGTAATGCAATTTACAATGAAATGCTAAGACCAGAAAAGGTATTTGATAAATCGCAGCTATAATAACTATCTAATCTGAATAGTTACACAAATTACATCTATTATTATAGTATGTGTTTCACCCAGGCTTTGCCTAACCTCCCACATTTATACTAGAACCTCTTGGCTTCAGTTTCTCCCCGGTTTTCTACCTTCTGAACGCTCTCCAAAGCGTCCCTAGAATCATTTGCTCCCCTATTGATTAGATCAGACAGGCCAGGCACAGGGTAAGTGCTTGCTCACATGTATATTTCCTTCCTCTGTCACTGAGTATAGACTTATCCATCTTCTGGGTTTACAGCTCTCTGCAGAAAGGTAATAAGGCAGAAACATCAAGTCCATCAGACTCAGGAAAAAGAAGTGTGGACACTGTGACCATATAAAATGCCACAAATATAAATATTCCACAAATATTTTCTGAATACATACTAGGTGGCAGGCACTGTTCTAGGCCCTGAGGATCCCACAGTGAACAAAAGAAACAAAAATGTCTCTTTTACTTAGCTTACACCATCATGGAAGAAAAAAACAAAAAAGAAATAAATAAGGTTGGGAGTATAGCTCAGTGGTAGAGCACTTGACTAACACATGCAAGAGCCTGGGTTCCATCCCCAGCGAGAGAAAGAAAAAAAGGGAGGAAAGAAGAAAGGGAGAGGAAAGAATAATATCAAATGGTGGTATATGAAAAGGAGAAATAAATGAAATAGAGAGGAGAGAATGGAAGTGATAACAGTGGGGAGGTAAAAAATGGTATCTGCATTTAATTTCATTTTTTAATAGTAAATTCAGGGGTGAGGACACAATAGAAAGAAAATATGTCCCTTGTGCTGAGCAATAGTCCCTATCATTGGAGTCACTATTCATTTTGGAACACTGCCCTAGAACCAACAAATTCTCAGCGTTTTTGTGAGTAGTCCTTCTTCCTCACCAGGCAATATTCATTCCCCCACAGCAAACTCTAGAGAAAAAGTAGAGATGCCTAGAAAGTGTGAGTCACTCTAAGACTGAGCATGCCAAAATGTTTAATCAGCTCTGCCTCAGACTTAACATTAAATCATGAAGATTGTAGGTAATAATATAATTAGTAGGCTGGAACTACAAAAACAAACAACAACAAAAACAGCCACACCAAACCAGAACTGTTTCTCAGAACTGAATTCTGCCATGAAAAAACAGGAAAGCAGAAAGAGCAGCAGAAAATAGACCTGAGTGGACCTTCGCAAGATGAAGCTGGTGCAACCACATCCTGCAGGCATACCACTTTTAGAGGACTGCTGCCCAGAAAAGTCCTTCCTTCATCTCTAGCAAATTTCTTGGTGTTCCAAATTTGTCCAGGAGATGGCAGCACAGCCTTAAAAGAAGCAGATTTGCCAGAAATAAATTTATTTAGTGGTGACTAAGCCAGAATAGAGGTCAAGATATTTAAAGAGGGAATGGGGAGTGCTCAAAATCATATAAAAATAAGATTGTGTTCCATTTGTGTGTTTCACCCAATTTTAAACTAAATATACAGGGCTTCACAGTAGTTTGTATGTAATCATCTGACCTTTGCAGTTTATGCCCATAAATTGATTTTTCAACACACAACCACGATACACCATCTCCTTTATATGAGTGTACTCAGAATTTCTAGAGCTAAGACACAAAAATCTTAAAGAGAAGTGAAAGAAATCTATCTGTGGGAGTGTGAACAGGTATTATATATTACACCTACCCAGCTAACCTTCTTTCTGACTCAGGGATCATGATGCAACCAACCCATCCTTCTCTCATTTTTTTATCCTTGGAATAAAACAAGGAATGGAAATAAGAACTGTTTTCCACTATCTATAAGGCCTGGCTCATGTTAATATTTGTATTGTTGAAATTGTTTCATTTGCAGAGAAAATGGGACACCAACATCCAAATGATGATTCATTCTCAACCCTGTCCAAGCTCTGGAACTTGGTTTTCTTCCTTCTGTTTGGCAAAGTGCTCAGGGCACTTCCTTAGTCTGCAGATTCAGATTTGTTCAACATGCTCCTTTGGTGATGAAGCCATGTGACTTATAGTCACCTGACTTCTCTGTGCCTTATTCTTCTCATCTGAGGAAACTAACACCAACATCTGTCACATAAGGCAGTGGCAAGGGTCAGAAGAGAGCCTGTGACATCCCACTGAATCCCTTACATTTATGAAATCATTCAGATTAATACAAGGTGTAATGTATGGAGGAAAAATAAGGAGCAGGAAGACTCTTATCTACCTTGTTCTGTAATCTTACTTTCTGACCTGGAGTCCAACTCTTGACTCTTCCACATTAAGGTCAGGGATCCCCACACCTGCAGTCAGCCTGGCCTATCTTGCTCCCTCCAAAATGGTTCCACACTTCAGACTAATAAACAGCATCCACAGCTGCTCCCTCAAACCTATCCCACCCAGCCAGAGTCCCTCAGTACAGAGACATCTAAAGCAACACACTGCAAGCAACAGATCATGCCAAGTGTGGACCTTTGGTCAGACATAAGCTAAGGAGATAACTGCGGGCAGGGTGGAGAGAATGTTTCCCAGGTTGGACAAGGGACGTGATTCCCTGGTTCCAGATCTTTGTCAGCTACATAGCATTTTTATGGCTCTTTTTGAAAGCCTGGACTTGGAGTTCAGGGTAAAACTCAATGCTTCCTGTTTTCTCCTCCATTATAGACACAGCAGAACTCTGCTTCTATATCTAAGAAGTAATCATCCTGTAGAGTACTTTACAATAATAATGATAGCTCAATTTATATAGCATGGTATTGGCTAAGTGCCAGGTGCTCTTCTGAATGTTGAACTTTTAACTCATTTTAATTCTCAACAACCCTATGACAAAGGTCCTGATATCGTCCTTATTTTGTAGATGAAGAAACTGAGGTACTGAGAGGTTAAGTAACTTGTCCAAGGTCACACAACATGCCTATGGCAAGGAAGGGCTTAAAACCTAATGGGGCATTTTGGCCCCATAGTTTTTCTTCTTACTGGAACATAACACTTGTCTTATTTGAGCTTGACAGTATACCTGAGAGCAAGGTATTATTGTTATTATCATTATCCCTATTTATTGAAGGAAAACTAAAGCTCAGAAACTCTACCCAAGCTCAAAGCACATGATTTCAATGGCAAAGCTGGAATAATAACTGGAGATTTTCTAGCAGATCATATGCCCAGTGACTATTCAATCCCCAGCACTGCAAACAAACAAACAAAAACAAATCAAGGCTGGAAATATAGCTCAGTGGTAGTGCACTTGCCTAACACGCTCAAGGGTCTGGGTTCCATCCCCAACACTAAAGAGAGAGAGGGGGAAGGACAGAAGGAAGGAAGGAAAGAAAGAGGGAAGGCAGGCAGAAAGGGTAACTAAAGAATCATCAGTCACTCCTCTTCATCTACATTAAAGGTGACTAGGGAGTCCTTCTAAAGAGACCTTCTCTCACCCATCCCAAGAAGATCTGTTTAGCGAAAACTGAACAAATCTTCCTGATTCCAGGCCAAGACTGCTCTTTGGAATGAGTAATGGATACTCTCTAGGGACAGATAATTCAGCCCTAGTTCCAATGTGGAAGGGTGTAAATATTCTCTCTCCTCCCCAGAGTCTTTGCTGTTCTCACCTAAATCAACTGACCACCCCTTCCTTCAAACTCCCAACTGTACTTTGCTTTTTTCATGCCTCTCCTATGGGTCCTTCTCAATTTCCACATTTCCTTTTAATTATTTGATGTCATTCCTCTATTGGACTGTGCCCTTTGGAGGACTGGGATGGGGTCTCACTCATTTCTGCATCCCTGCAAAACAACAGGCAAGCAACGCTCCAGAGGGGGCAGTTTTCCAGAGCTGTTCTGTGCCATTTGGTCTTGACATTCTGGCACCCTTGCTGGAGACCAATGGGAGAAACAGGTTGAAACTGAAAACACACATGCCCTAGATGTTCCAGAAGTTCCAGTCTGCTTCTTATCTACGAGTAATTCTTAATGTCCTTTCTAGCATATTCTTCCTTTATTTCCTTGGCAACAATCTAATAAACCTGTTACTCTGCAAGAATTTTGAAGCTAGAAAGAGCTTTATCACATTAGTCAAGGAGACTGAGACTCCACCCAGCAGCTGCTTCTGAAACAGACTAAGAATGACACCAGATGGAACACTAAAGTGTTAATAAA